ATTATACGAAGTTATACGAGTGCGTGTGACATGTGTGTATGTGTATGTGTGTGTGTAATTATATATATATATATACACACACACACACACACCACACACATATATGTATGTATGGATATATAAACAAGCACAAATTGAAATAAAATAAAAGTAAAGCTAACACAAATAAAATTGACACATATTGAATTTCTCTCTTTCTCTCTCTTTCTCTCTCTCTTTCCCTCTCTCTTTCCCTCTCCCTCTCTTCTTCTTTCTTTCTTTCAACTACATATATAGGACAACAAATCTAAATAGGAATCTGAAAGAAATATGTATACAAACTGATATTCATAAAAAAAATGATTATCAACTTAAAACATGTAATACTTGTGAGTATGTTAGAAAGTTGGGTAAAAAATATAAAATATACTATTCTACTCTGATAATTTTGTAATACTATAAAAATTTTTCAGATTTTCCTCTTACAAGAATTTCAGAATTAATGTTTAGAGTATCATTACCAGAAAAATCCATTGTTAATATTAAAGTTATAGAAAAAACTGGAAGAAGAAATTTACCTATTTTGCAAGAGGAGGAAACATTCAGAATTTTTGGTAAATATATTTTATGAAATAATTTTGTAAAGATATATTAATATAATTATGTATCTTGTGTGTTATAGAAAACCCAGAATTAGTAAAACCAGTAGTTACTATGATAGATGGAAAAAGATTAACAACAGAATTTGTTTTACTTGAAATTGCAACCATTGAAAAGAAAATTAATACCGAAATAGAATCAGAAAGATGTATACCGATAATCAATAAGGTATATAAAGAGATATCAATATCATTTAAAACCATAATATAATATTATATTTATATTAAACATGATATATTTTATATATTTTATATATATTTTTTTTTAATATTGCAATTGATATGAAATTAATTATGATAATGAATTATAATATTGTATTTGTATAGATATTCATATTTCTAGCTAATTTTAACTACAAGAGAGCTAATGTTGAATGTTATAACAGTTTTGAAAACAATTTTTCAAGCTATGAAGAATGATGATATTCGAGATATGAACGACTTATATTTGTCTACACTTTATAAAGATCATAATATATGTATTAAGTCTGAATGCGAAGCAGATATATGGCATGAAGGAGAACGTGGTATTGAAGCTAGAAGATTACTTGGTACACTTTCACAAATTAGTATTGAATCATCATACTTAAGTGATTACTTAGCAGGGAAGTCAATTTTGCTCACGCACAATGATAAATGCTATAATTATTATTTGCAACAAATGATACGTTACAATACATGGTTAAAAAAAGGCCATAAATTTGAAATGCTTGAAATTATTTTAGAGTGTGTTACTTTAATAGAAAGTATTGTAAGTACATATTATTTTATTTTTTAAAGATATTAATTTTTATCAAATAGTTTTTTATAATTAATAATTATTTGCAGAGAAGATCTCATCAATTTACAGGTCTTATAAATGCAATTATAAAAGTACTGTGTAATGTACAACAAAAAGTGGGTTATTGTGACAAAGGGTATATTAATATTATTGTTTTGATTATTTTAATATTTAATAGATTTTATATAAATGCAATTTTTTCAGATTAGAATATATTTATCTGATATTCAAAGAACTCATATTCTCGAGACCATTGTCACTCTGTTATGTTTCATTATCAAATTTTATAATGGTTTTCAGTAAATGCAATATATTTATATCCAAACTTTGCATGAGTTCACGTAAGTAATATTGAATATGTATAACAAAAAATTTGTTTCTTAAATATTTATTATTATTATTTTAATAGAATTAATGGCGATAAAAAGATGGAAAGGACTTTTACATTTTACACCAGGTATGTAAGTTATTTAAAATAATAATCTAAAAACATGAATATTTTTTAGAATATTTATATTTTTTCAAGAATATTTTTAATTATATTCTTTAATTTATCGGATTATTGCGATAAATATCAACACATGTCTTAGTAATGGTTAAAATATTAATTCAGAAAATGGATGATTCAGATTCAATTCTTGGCTGAAATAACATTTTTAAAAATAAAAATTTTTTGTTAGTAATATATTAGAATGTGGGAGAATGAAAAACACGAGTTTCTTTTATTGCCGTTTCAATATCCATGCATAAACATGTAATTTTTATTAAATAACATATGCATATAGTTAGTAACACAAGCCAAGAAATGATTTCTTTCAAAATTTTTAAAAATTCATTTTTAATAATTACTACAAATTACAAATTATTCATGAATGAAAGGTAATTGGTATCTAAAATTCTGCTTAATTGTAAAATGTCATAAATTTATCTATTTTCTTTAACTATATTTATATATTTATGTTTTAGAATGCTTATTATGTTTTAGATGCTTGTGTATTACAAATTTTTATTGCACAAGTGGAACATTTTCATCCAGACTTTCTCACTATAGTAAACATGACGCATGCATTAATATCATGTGTATATCATGTCTTGCAGAAGAATAACTTATTTAGAACTGAAAGTTCAAAATCTTGTAATTGTTACACGAAATTATTACGATTTACAATTAATATGTTAAAGAAATGTTCTGAAAACAAAGTAGATATGATCAATACAAAATGGCCAGATACATTTTACACTTCCAAGAAATGTTGTATTTTGAAAAAAATTAATTACAAAGATTATACATATCAGAATATAAATGATTATCTAACAGAAATATATTCAGAAAAATTAGATCAAAATTTTTGGTTTGGTATGAAAAAAATTCAATACAAGATATTGAGACAAGGTATCAGATTTTTATGCCATCTTGTGATTTGTGATCCTGATTTTGTTTGCCAATCATCTGATATTGAAGATTCATTACATTTATTTATACAAAATATTGCTTTTTTTGACGACTTGATACTTGATGAAAATGAACGTAAGTATTATAATAAATTTCTCTATTCTTTTCATTTCATAAAAAAATATTTATACAATTTTAGGAGAAGCATTAGAGCGTATAAAAACTACATTTGTTGATAAAAGTGTACACTGTGAAACAGAAACATCTAAAGATATACATGATAGTCAATTGCATATAACAGATTTTAAAAAGAGAATTGTTCCTACGACTGAAAAAAGTACTCGAACTATTGAAAATTACGATAAAGTGTATATGGCCATCAGAGCCATATATAATTCTAAAGAATAATTAAATATATAAATTCTCATAATTATCTTAATATTTATATAATAATTTCTATATAAACATGAGATCGTAGGAATAATGTAAGGATAAATTTACAACAAAATATTTATATATCAATTTAATGAATTATAGTCAATGTCATCAATTTAATGAATTATAGTCCCACCATATGTATATATATATATATATATATATATATATATATATATATATTATTATTATATATATTGTTGTTAG